TTCATTTTGTTTCTTTGGTCATGCTGAGAATTAAACCCAGGGCCTAGACATGCTAGACATGCATTTTATATCCTTAGTACTCAACAGTGGTCTTTTTAAGAAGTTTAAAAATTTAAGAAGTCTTTCATATTTACCCATGTACTCATTATTTCTACTGCTTCTTATTCTTTTGTGTCCATCCAGGTTCCTTCTGATATCATTTTCCCTCTGCCTTAAGGACTCTCTTTAACACTTTGATGCAGGTGTGCTGATAATGGATTTCTGCAGTTTGTATGTGTGAAATCTCTTTATGTTGCCTTGTTTTTGAAAGATGTTTTGCTAGATATGAAATTTTAGATTACCCTTTCTCTTTCAGTACTTTAAAAGTGATGCTCTATTCTTTTGTCCTTTGCATTATTTTTGACAAGAAACTTTCTGTGACCATTTTTGTTCTTTTTTTATGTGATTTTTTTCTTCTTTTGGCAGCTTAGTGCTTTGGTATAGTTTTTCTCTGATTTCTTATTCATTTTTTAGTTCATTTACTTCTTTCCTCTGTTGGAGTGTAGTTTGCATCCATTTTAGAAGATGTTCAGCCAGCCATTATTTCTTCCAATAATTTATTGTCTCTCTCCTTTGGGGACTCTGACCTCGAGCACTTCAGCCATCTGAAAGTAACTCATAGGTTACTAATGCTCTCTTTTGAATTGTTTTGCTCTCTGTGCTTCCTCTTGTGTTTTTGTAGTTTTGTCTGGAGTTTTCTAACTTTTCTCCTGTCTACTATTAATCTCATCTACTAGTGCACATTGTAATTTTCCTTTTTAGAAATCAATTTCAGACGATTTTATATCTTCCATGTCTGTACTTAGTTCATTCTTTCTTCTAGCCTTACCAGTATAACAAATATTATGATCACTGTTGCGGTGACCTCATTCCTTTTCCTGTCCCTGGGCTGGTTGTGCACCAGCACACACTGTTAATCCCTGGGGGCCCCAGCTCTGTGCAGCTGTTTGGCCACTGAGCTGTTCCTACAATCTGAGATGCTCTCTAGAAGTCTCTGGATGTAGCAAATGGTGCCATTCATGGGGCCCTCTGAGTTATTTCTGTATCTCAGTGGTCACTGCTCTTCATGGTCTGACTTCAAGGGCCTTGAAAACCATTGCTTTATATATTTCACCCAGTTTCTTAGTTTATGTAGAAGGGAATATCTATTCTCCTTTGCTCCATCTTGGCTGATACTAGAAGCCAGTATCATATTTCTAATTGATAGAATTTAACAAAAATATACTTTCACAGTAAGACTCACCAGAAGTTGAAGTCTTTAACAGTTTCATCTTCTGTTGCATTTCCAAAGTGAGACCTATCTTAAAGTTTTAGAATGACTTTGTCTTTTGATAAATAAATCAATTGACAGTAAGCCTGTTTACATTAATTCTAAAAGTAATTATGTTTAAAATGATTGCTTTTATATTTTGACACTGTAATTTGGAAATTTTGATTCAAAAGTCTGATTTAGAGAAGAGATTTTAAAAACCTAGTTATATTAATAATTTAAACTAACCTTTGAGACCAGAGACAAAAAAATAATACTGATGGTTTAATAAAGGCAGTGTAATTTCAACTTGCTTTTATAACAAGATGTCTGTATCTTTTTAGCAGCTTGACATTAAAATCACGAGTATTGTGTAAGCCGCGTGTCACAAGGCAGTATGTGGAATTTCCTGTGCAGTTACAGTAGTGATCCCCATGCTCAGTCCTCTGAGTGTTCTCCTGTGACTGCTGGTGTAATAGGGACATGAGCATGCTTGCTAAATGCAGGAGTTGTCTCAGGTGGGCCAACACATGGATTCTGTTGACTCACACTGCAGGTGGACTGACCAGCTCTTTTTAAATCCGAGGTTTTATTCTGCCCTTTCATTCTTTTAAAGGAATGAATAGGAGATTGTTATGCAAAGAATTACACATGAAACATTTTATCTTGAACCTCCCTGGGGGAGCTGGTGTGCAGCTTGTCATGAAGGATGCTTTATTCCAATAGATGATCATGGTCATGTGACTTCTGCCTTGCTGAGGCCTTGCTAGTGAACTTCATCTGGTGTAACTTAACTCTTGAAATTTACTTCTGAATGGTTATAAACATTTACATATCTGATAATTGAATCTTTCTTACTAACATTTTAAAATTTTCTTTCTTAATACGCTTTTACCTTCTTCAGAAATAGAGATTTGAATATGACACATGTATAATAAATGCTTTTTTTTTTTTTTTTTCTGGGACCAGGGATTGAACTCGGGTCTTTGCGCTTGCAAGGCAGGCCACCGAACCGCTGAGCTAAATCCCCGGCCCCAATAAATGCTTTTAAATTAAGGCTTTGAGCATTGTGAGTTTTTGTTTTGTGTTAGTACTTTCATCTTGAAAAGTATGTTTTATAATTTGTCACTGTGACAAAAACCTCTTAACTAGGATTTTAGAGAAATGATTTTGTTATTGTCTAGTCTATGTAGATTTTCAGAGTTAAAGAGCTATCTGTCTTTTCCAGAATAATCTATTAGTCAGCTAATGTCCATAGATTTTGTTTAACATTGAAATGGTAGTGTCCTCAGAACCAGTCCTCATGAGCTGGTGTTGGTCTGTTTCCTCTGTACACTGCTGAGAGTCCATGAATGTCTACCTGAGACCTCTCTAGAACCCAAGAATCTAATGGGAGCTGGCCTGGCCTGGAAGAACATTCTTGTTGGGACTGAGCACTGATTCTGGTTGGCAGATGTGAAGGCCCCATTCAGCCTTGTTCCACTGTTCCACCAAAGCCCTGTGCTTACTCGGTGACTGCTCTTCTCTTATGGCATGTAGGCTGTCACAGCAGAGGTACAGTCTATGGCCAGGATGCTGACCACAGCACACACCTATGGTTTTTAGTGTGGAGTTTGTACACCGCATGGGTCCCTAAATTTGACCATTGAAGTGTATGGAGAAAATATTAGACCTTGTATGCATTTTACTGTTACAGCTGCTAAAGTGCTCTGTCTGAATATGTTAGTGAATAGTATGTATATACTGGTAGTTTGTAAATATTAAATACACCTGGTGCTATGTGGAAGCCTTTGAGAGCAGGTAGGACTATAGTGGAGCTTCAGGGGTTTTGGTCTTGGACCCTTCAGGCTCCCCACAGAGGAGCTTGGGGGACATGGAAGTCTGTGTACATGTGTACACCTGTGCATTAGCCATCACTCCACACCTCTCACCAGATTGTCCAAGGGTCCTTGGCTTTGATGATCAGTAAACTGTCTGTCTGGGGTCTCTGGGATCAGATGCTTATTTCAGTAGGATTGTTACTTGTTTACAGATAACTTGCTAGGTTCAATTAAATGCAACTTTATTTGAAAAATAAAATATACAAGTAGATATCTGTTACTTTTAGGAAAGAAGCTTTACTGGGTTTAAAGCTGAGAAACTGTAGCCAGGATTGTTGTAATCATCTTAAGAGTGATGTTGCAAGTACTGTGTTCTCTGCTGGTGTCTGGGTATTAATCTATCTTTCCTTCCTCTTCCTCTTCCCTTTCCCCTTCCCATTTCCCTTCCCCTTCCCTCCCTTTCTCTCCCTCCCTTTCTCTCTCTCTCCCTCTCTCTCTCTCTCTCTCTCTCTCTCTCTCTCTCTCTCTCTCTCTCTCTTTCAATTATGAGGCAGGTGATGGCACCACTGAGCTAAATCCCTGCCCCTTAACGTTTCTTAAAGGGTTTTCTACATTTTCACCAATTTTTTTGTCTGTTAGAAATATTTAGGGACCATCTTCAAGTTCACCTGCATCATCCCTGGTCAGAGGGACTGCAGCACGTTCTCCTCACAGTCTGTACAGGGAGGTTCCCACTGTGTGTAACAGTTCTGGGGGCACTTTAGGTGGGCAGTGCTGGGGCGGAGCTGAGTGTCAAGTTCAAGCCAGCTGAAGCCATGAAATTGTGTCAGAAGCCTTCAGGACATCAGCTGAGGTCTCCAATGGTGTTTAGCTTCCTACCAGCAGTTCCCTGTAGCTCTCTGGAGTATGGCCCTGTGCAGCTTTGTATTCTTTCTCTTAAAGTCTCTTGGGACTCTCTTGTTCCTCACTCACCTGACCTCCTGAATGTTGAGATTTATTTACCTATCAGTGGTTAGGAAGATTGTTTCTCCTACATATTCTTTCCAATGAATATTGGACCTGGGACACATGCTCACTAAATAGAACAACTATTTAAATTGTTTTTAAATTACAAAAAAAAAGTGTGTGGTGAGTTTAAATAACTGAAATGCATATATGGTATAATTCCACTGCAATTCCAGCGTGCCCAGACTTTACAAGTCTATAGCATTAAATTCAGATTAACAGTATTTCATATGGAAAGAAATGAGCATATTCATTTATTCATTTATGTAATGTGAAGAATATGAAAGGTTTTGCTCTGGGGTGTTGGAATTATAAGAATGGAACAAAGTCATTGTTTTCACAGAACTTATGGGGCATGGGGAAGCAGGCAATAAGTAAGTAAAAAAGGAATCAGGTCATGTGCTCTATCAGAAACCTTACTTTGCATGGACACTCTGGAGGGTGCAGCTGTCTGCAGAAGGGGACTCAGCCCTTCTTTCCAGGATGGCTTGTGGGCAGCAAAGGGGTAGCAGAAGTATTGGCTCAGGCAGCCCCCTCATCAGGACTCTGGTTTCCTGTGACCAGATACAGCCACCCTGTTCCAGTTGGCACAGTCACCCGTCCTCCCCAAGTGAGCCTCAAGTAGCCCAGATTCTGAGCCGGTATGACAGGGGTACTTATGCCAGCCTTCTGTTGTCACTTGCACTTAACTGGCACTTGTGTGACATAGGTCAGGGCTGGCTGGAGGTGGCCATGCCATAACAATGACTCATTCATTGTAAACTGGGATCATTCGTTAGAGCATCCCAGGAGCAGAACTGAGAAAGTCTGCAGGATTTGATCTGATGAGTACATCATTGTGTAACTAACTGATTTTCATTAAGGGCTCTTTTATTTATCTTTAACAGGAATCACTAGATTTGACCTACTTGGAGACTTTGGAAGGTTTAACTGGCTGGGCAATTTCTATATTGTCCTGTCCTACAATTTACTCTTTGCCATTGTGACAACATTGTGTCTGGTCAGAAAATTCACCTCTGCTGTACGAGAAGAACTTTTCAAGGCCCTAGGTAATCCTGAGGGTTATGGGTATTTCTCTTTCTGCTAATCAATGATTGTGTGTTAAATTTTCAGTTAACACTAAGTCTTCATTCAGTTTCTAAATGTATACAACCTTAGAAGTCAAATTTTTGACCACCAGTCATATAGAGTCGTGTCATTGATTATATTAAAACTGTTGTAGGCTGTGAATGCATTTTTCATGCTTACTTCCACATTAATGATAAATATTTCAAGTTTTATACCTTAGGGCTACCATGACAATACATGCTGTCTTGAGCTTGGGGTATGTAGTTTACCACAAAAGAAGGGCAAGTCAGTGATTTATTATCGAAAATCCTGACATTAGCTTCATTTACCTGAGTGATATGATTTAAATGCTTATATATTCCTTGTGGTTTGAGCTGTTTTAAAAGACAGCTTATTGATTGGTTCATTAAGGTTCAGTATTCAGATATCTTAAACCAAAGGAGCAGTAATCAAGCTTCTCAAGCTCCCTACCCTTCCCAGCCTTGGTGGTTGAAAGTGTGATGATTGGGAAGAAAAAAAGATGTCAGATTGTCAGTTCAGGCCATTTGTGAGAGGGATGGCTGATTAGAGTATTGTCCTGCAAAGAAAAAGCTACATCTTCTTTGAACCAGAGCCCCAGACAATTTCATAAATTTTAATGCCTAGGTTTTATAATACTGCCCATGTTAAAAGATACAGGATGAAGTAGGACTCTTGTCAGATGTCTAGAATAAGTCTTAATTTTCAAGCCTATTATAATATCAGCAAGATGAGGTATCCATGATGTCACAGTGACTCCATTCCATTCCCTGCATTGACTGCAATGAACTCAGCACAGCCAATGCTTGTGTTGGAGAGTCTGGGGTTGTGCTACTGGGGAGCCATTATTAAAAGGGTAAATGGAACACCGTACAGGCAGAGTTCCTGTGTGCTGGGTCAGCTCTTTGACCATAGAAGTAATGTGATAACCAAGAGTGTGTGAAACTATCTGGTAGAGTTACTTTTCTTTCTGAATATTTTTCACTGTCCTCTGCAGTGTTCTTTTGGGGTTATTTATGCAATGCAAAATTTCCTGTATAAGTATATGCAGTATTTGAATGATGGGAGATCTTCAGCATGACTTTATTGAGAGTCATAATTTGATTATGAACTTTGCTATATTCTTTCTTTTTATCTCTTTTACTATATACTTTTTCTCTTTTTTCTTCCTTCCCTTCCTGTCTTGTCTCATCTCATCTCTTCTTTCTTCTCTCTCCCTTTCTTTCCTTTTCGTAGTCCCCCCACCCAGCCATTGCTGCTATGTCCATTGATTATAACAATGTCCATGTCACAGAATCCCTGGAACATAGCCGTGGTGATGGTGGTGATGGGTAATTATCTCTGGAGCTCTCTACAGAAGAGGGACATTGCAGTTTTTCAGAACGCATTGCTTAGGCTGCACTCAAATTTCAGAAGTGAACCCAGTCTGTCTTCTGTCTTAAAAACATAATTCCAAAGGTGTAGGAAAAGTGGGAAGGGTAGGGGAAAGGTAATAAGGGAAAAGAAAAAAAAGAGAAAATGAACAAATGGAAATAAAGTGTTTGTAAATGAGGAGGGGAGGAGGGGGTGAAGGGAGGGCTGGGACAAGGGGAAAAAATGAGAACCCAGACCTGTCATATAAAGGTACAAGATCCCAATAATGAATGTAATTGTACTGTATACCTAAAATGTACCAATAAACTCAATTAAAAAAAAACCGTAATTCCGTTTCAGGGCAGCTACTGACTACCTCCTGACATACTTTCTGCTCAGGGCCTTTTCTGACAACCCTGGTTTTAACATGTTCATGATAGGGCTGTAATTCAGATGATTTGCTGCTAGGCAGCTTGAACCACTGGTGGTACATGTATGACTGTCCCATGCATGATTGTATCACTTGTACCACCAGTTGTATAAGCTGCCCAATGGGAGTCATGTGTGTACCAGCAGTGGTACAAGCTGTCCGATGGGACAGTCAGTCATGCATTGTGGGAATGTGTTAATGCTTCCTACTTTCCGACAGCTGGCTGCTCCTTAGGTCATTTAGTAATTTGGCCATTCCTTGGACCAGACCATCTTTGGGTCTTTTTCTCTTCCCAAATGCCATAGAAAGACTCAGTTTTACTTTTTGTCATTAAGACATGCAAGTGACAATGTTTAAATTTTGGAGTGCTGTGTTAAAGAGTGATATGAAACCGTCTGACAGAAAGATTACCACCTGAATGGAAACAATTTTTTCCAACTTAGTTTTGAGGTTTCAAAAATTTCAGAGCCTAATGGAAATTATTTCTCCAAAATCTTCTCTAATACATAAGATGTGCTGCTTATGTATTTGTATATCACTGTGAATTCTTTTTTGTTAAAGTGCATGAAGCTTTAGTGCCACCTAAGTGCTTCAGTCTTCTTTTGCCTTCCTTTCCTATGAGGGCACAATGTTGTTCCATATAGTAGAGTTACCATGTAAATAAGTGCTGTATGACAGAGAGGAATTCATGAAATAGAAAAAGGTAGTGATTTTTTTTTATTCTGTATGTGGCTTTAAATTGAGATGTATTTTTATATTCAGTTTGTTCTCTTGCCATTTCTTTCTCTTTCTTTTGGGGTAATTTTTCCCTGTGCTTTAAGAAATTACATGCTCAATACTTTGGTATCTTTGCTTACATTTGCCTGCATGTGAACTTGTATGAGTGTCTTTTAAACAAAAATGGGACCATATCTGCCTCTCTCCCAAGTTCAGGTCTCCGAAATGTGTACTTTGGGATGGTAATACATTTGCCAGGAGGGGAGGGAGAGAGAAAACAGAAGGGACTGTGCAAGAAGAGGGCTTGTGCTTTGAAGCCTCAGCTGACCCTATGGATGGTGACAGTGGCAACCCTCAGAGTATCGCTGAGTTGGGAAAAGGCCCAACACTGACATGTTTGCTGGGCCCTGGAGGTAGGCTGTCCTTGGAGGGGCACAATGACTTCCTGTCTAGCTGCTGCCTCCACTCAGGCCATCTGCAGAGGAGCTGCCAGTGGGGAAAAGAAATCTTTAATTCCTAGATTGCATTTGGCCAGGACCTCCCAACTTCTACAATGAAACTGCACAGTCTGCTTACCAGGCTCTTCTCATCACCCAGCCCCTTCCCCAGCCACTCAGCAGCACTTCACTCCTCACCATTTCCTTAATTTTCTTGCAGGGCTTCATAAACTTCACTTATCCAATACTTCAAGGGATTCAGAAGCAACCAAACTATCTGCAAATGGGCATCAGAAAGCACTGTGAGACCCACACTGGGCGAACATTCTGCAAGCAAGAGTCCTGGGAGGTCCAAACTTGTGACATTCCTACCTGCCAGATGAAGAGCATTTTCATATTGACCTTGGTGCATGTTTAGGGCCTGGGCCTAGAAGTATCTTTTTGTTATAATAAGAAATTGTCTATTAGTGATCTTGTTTTTTATATTCAGCTTTCTGGTAAACCTGGTAGTTACCAGTTCAGCAGATTCCTGGAGACATATGGGAAAACACACTCATCTATGCCTTGCATCAGTAAATACATCCTCCTCATGTGAAAACCATGTCAGAAATGGCAATCTGTGAGACTTTCTGAGATCCATTCATTCCCATTATGTGTGTTTTCTCAGCATGGAGACACCTACTTGAAAGGCTCCCTGGTACCAAGGGAGGTTTCCAGGCCTTTTGGAGACTGCTTGTAGAGGCTATCACTGCAGTAACTGCACTGGAACTACAATGATTGCAAATTTATTTTTAATCTCCTTAAAAAAACATAGTTTCCAATTTAGATTACAGAATTTTCACTAGACTTGGAGCCAAGGAAAAATACTAAGTCCTTTTCAACCCTGAGCAGTGGCCACAAGCGCAGGAGCGCCTTGTGTTCGCTGCCGGAAGCTCTGATGAGCGATGTGATGTCAAACTGAGGGACAGCTGACTGTATGACTCAGTATTACCTCTCATAGTACAGTTGCCAGTGTTGGGTACACTTGTAACTTAGACTTTGCCTTATAGGCTGTGTGTATACTCAATTTTTTAAAGAATTCTTTTTTTAAAAATCACTTAATTCTCTGTGCTTCTATGATGTTTATGAGAAATTTCAATGCTGAATGGTAGAAACCCCTTTCCTCACATTCTTCAGGCTTTGGGTACTTTTGTATACACCAGTTTAAGCCTCTGACTTACAAAAGTTAGCAGCTCAACACTCAGAGCTTACAGAGTCGGTATTCTTGATGTGAGAATAAGTTTACACTGTAATATAATCTGATAATCATTCACCTCTTACATTGTAAATAATTATTGGGGTGACTTCTTGACTCTTAAGTCCACTGATCAAAAACCGTTAGCATATACTCTGCGTTGTCACCTACTAGGATAGGATCCTGAGCACTGTGCATGCAAAAATACTTGGTCATCCCCTTTGCACACAGTTCATAGTTCTGTGATCTATATGAATAGGTATGTTCACATGCACCATGTGTATAATGATAGGTTGTCTGTGTTCAGACAAAAGTAAAACAACATTTTTCTCAAATTGTTGAATTTAAAGGGTTTTTGGGGGGAGAAATTTATAAAAAAAAAGGCTGTATCTGTTGACATAAAAAATTTCCACATAGAACCAAACAAGAAAATTTAATCTGTACTATATATTTATAAGTTCCATTGAATGTACTTCTCATTTATACTTCTGCATTTTCTTGTAAGCATCACATCTTTTTAAAATGCAGCTTAGCTTTAAGAGTATTCACTTTTTGGTTCTAAGTGGCACTGAGCACATGCCACCCATCTAGTACTGGATTTCTCAGCATAAAATCTATATACCTAGAAACTTAATAAAAAGTCAGCTGCTTTGTAATTTCACTGTTAATTCTGTCTACATTAGTATTCATTGAAAGCTTTGATTTTTTTTTACTGACTCTTGGAGTCCACAGTCTGAGCAGACCAAGTCCAGGGGAGAACAGAAAGATCCTCGGAGTACACTAAAATCACTTCTACATCAGTGTCAGGGCACATCCTGTGAAAGAGTTCCTGGGCATTTGTAAGATATTTGAAAGTTTTCTAATAAAATATTAAACTTTTCATTGTCTGTGTCTCGATGCTTTGTTCATTTCAAAGTTTCTTTCCTCCTGAGAACTTAAGCCAAGCTTGCATCAGTCGCTTATAAAATGAAGTATAGGGCTGGGGATTTAGCTCAGCGGTTTGGTGGCCTGCCTTGCAAGCGCAAAGACCCGTGTTCAATCCCTGGTACCAAAAAAAAAAAAAAATAAAAAAAAATAAAGTGAAGTATAAACGTTACACTTGTGCACACCATTACTGCTTATGAAACAGATGATGAACCTTGGGTGTAAGGATGGTTTCTCCTTGGGTCTCAGGTGCCCTTGATTGTTAGACATTTAGTCTGCTGCATTGTCACAGCTCTGAGAATCCATGCCTGGTCACATATAACACATTGGACTCTTCCTCTGGGAGAGTGTCCCCAAATGCAGATGCTGTACTGTCCATATGCTGGGCTGTTTCTACAAAAACTACAGAAGTGGCAGACAGCAGACTGCGTCCTGGCGGGGAAAGTCCTGGGGTTTTGGCTCTACTGCAGTTGTTGTGCACCACAGAAGGAGAAGGCAGGTAGACAGTGGGAGACAGATCTCCAAACACAGTCAAATTATGGAACTGCTGTTTTGCTTCTCTTTGTGTGAGGTGCACCAGTGACTACATATCGCTCTGTTCTCTCTCACCATTAGTGTTCATTGTAAAAGGCCACTAGTGCAACTTTTAAAATACCTTAGCAATTAAAATTTTGCAAAAATTAATTTCATATGTGGCTTATAAGTATATATGCTTTTATGAATATCACTGTGGTCCATAGCCTGCAAATGGCTGCACATGTGCTGGGTTCAGTTCCCAGCACTGAAAAAAAAAATCATCATGGATAAGATTGAAGTGTATTTATAGGCTATTTCCATTCAGCTTTGTTTTGGTTTTTGAGGCAGGATCTCACTAGGTAGTTCAGGTTGACCTTAAACTCAGCAGTCCTTCTGCCTCAGCCTCCCACGTGCTAGGATTACAGGGGTGCACCAGCACACCCAGCCCATTTAAGTTTTATAAAGGGCAGTAATTCTGGTGAATGTTGAATAGAGGGAGAAGTGGATAGTTTTTACTATCTTTTTGTCATGAGCTTACTAGTAGATAAATTTCTTTGCAACCAAAAGCACAGCCTCTATATTTGGAAGCATATGTCTTGCTTTATGTATTGAATTATTTAAACCATTTAGGTTTGTTTTATTTCTCTCATTTCTTCCTAGAAGGACTGAGTAGCTCCTGTTTGCTTAAGGAGTCTTTCCCAGAGCTCTGCAGAGATTGAATGCTGTTAGCATGCACCTGGTCAACATGCTGCAGGGCGCACAAGCTGCTGTGGGCACTGGCAGTCCCACACATTTTGTCCACAGTAATGCATACACTTAGCAACTTAGTTCAAATACCCAGATCAACAAAGACTGAACAAAACAGTACACCTTTTTACTATGTGTGATGCATGCTGGCATTTTCTGTTTTGTTTTATTGTTAGTTTTTAAATACTAGATGTAGACCATTATTTGGGTGGCTGCTAAATTTCAGTTTGAAAAACAACTGGAATCTGCTTTGAAAGAGGAACTGACTGATAACGATGACCATTTTGATTTTTATATTTTTTGGCCTTTGAATTTTGCTCAGGTAAAATTCATTGCAACAAAAGTGTATGTAAATTACTTGTTGCACTACAGGAAATGTAGTTAAAATCAGAAGAAATTGTGAGAGCACTCATAGCGATTGTAAAATTTTAGAGCTAGATGGTTGATCCATATATCTTTACAGGAGGTCACTCAGGTGAGAAATGAAGCTATTTAACCACCAATTCAGGGTAATTCAATTAGGGACACTTTTTTCAAGGTTAAATATAATCAGACTGGAAATTCAGTTATTCTCGGGTACGTCTTTGATGTTGTGCCCAGGAGGTAGACAGTGACAAGCAGGGCAGTGGCTGTGCTGCGTGTGAGTGGCTGCTGAGGATTAAGACACAGGCAGGCCGGTATCTGAATGTGGGGAGCCGCCAGAGGGGAAGAGCTTTATCATTGTCAGGAGGTTCTGTGAATGCTGTAACTCGTGCTCTCAGGAATGGTGCCACTTTAGTCAGGGCAGTGGTGCCACCACAGCTGTTCATACTGATTCTGCAGCTGTTCTTCCATTGCGTGTTAAAGCCCTCCAGGAGCACTGCTGATGCCAGCCTGGCTGCCTCTCAGTGGCATCTCCTGGGCAACCCCTGGTCCTTGATCTCCTAACCTGGTGCTGGTGTGGTCTGAAGAGTGACATATCCTGTCCTTGTTTTGGTCCCCTCTATGGACTTTGAAGTGAGGCTGGTGGACAGGGGCATGGGGCAGGGACGTGAGTGTTCTTTACTCACGTGTGGTCAGCCTCAGGACCACCCTGTGAACAGGAGCCACACCCCTCTGTTACAGGTGAGGAACACAGAAGACTGAAGATGCTGTCTGAGGTCACATGCTCATGAGCTGAGTAACTGGATGGCAGTGCAGACTGGTATGATTCTGTCTCACCCTTTCTGGTGTCTGTTTTGGTTTCTTTTATCCCTTCCTTTTTTATTAGTATATATTTGTGATACATAAAACCACTCATCATGGAGATTTGGTGCATATACATATATCATCTTGATCCTCTTTACTTCCACTCACTCCCATCTCTAGTGTCTTGTTCAAATTCTCAGATGCCACACAAGGATCTGGCAACATCTCTTGCCCACTGCCATTTGTGCAATGGGCCTGAGAATGCTGACTCCTGGTGCTGACCCCAGCTCACCTGTCGGTAGGTCTTGTACACTCCTGGGAACCTCCTCCTCCTCTCTTATTTAAATGTGGCCAACACTTTTTGCAGATAAGTAAATGTCTTGAGATGTGATTCTGAAGTACCCCAATCTTATGTATATAGCCTGCAAGAGGGGCTCATTGCTTTAAAGTAACAGCGGTGATGCCTAATGCGGGCACTGCCTTGCACCAGGTACTGTCAGAAGCACTCTGAGTGTGTATGCATATGCATTCATGTAAATATGTGACCTGCTCAGTCCTTGGGACAGCTCTGGAAGCAGATCCTGTTCTGCCACTTTGCAGAGGAGTTGGTTAGTAATTGTGGCCTGTGAATAGGTGGCACTTACCATCACCCAGGAGCCCTTTGCAGACTTGGCCCAGCCCTCTGTGAGAACAGGTGTCTGTCCTTCTTTCAAGAACCAAACAAAGGTACTAAAAGACCCAAAACGTGTTTCAGAACTGTTGCCTGCATCTTAGGTGGTGGCTGCCAAAGGTAGGGAATGAGTTAGAGGACCTGTGGGAGATGTCCAACCTAACAGTGCAACTCCTGTACTGTGGGAGGAGAGCTCCTGAAGCCAGGGCTTTACAGGTGTCAGCTTCATAGGGGTCAGCCTCTTGGATGTCGGAGGTTGCATCTTCTCCTCTGGGGAGGCTCTGATATGTGCCTTGAGCTGCTGCTGCTGGCTGGTCGACAGCACAGTGTGAACCTGTGAGACCCTGACTGCTGCCAGCTGAGGTGGTCTTGGCCAGGCATAGGCATAGCACCTACCTGGCACCAGCTTCCCCGGCATTGCTTCATTAGGCTCTTGTGAGCAGTGTGGGTTGAACCTGGGGTGGTGTGACCATCATGACTGCACCATACTTAACAGGACCTTTGATCCATGTGCACAGTCAGTACCCTCCAAGCCAGGGCCAGGCTGCCACATGGTAAATGTCAGTTGCTACTTTAAATCAGCTACTTAAATGTTCTCCTCTAGTAAGTTTTTAGGTAATGTCACAGCTAGCTATAGTAGATAGATCCTGTGAAGGACAGAAGCAAGTTGAAGACATTTGTAACAGTAGTGGAAATGAGAGGCTGATCTCTTAGGACTTGCATAGCATTTGTCTAGTTCACCTGAGACTTCAAAAGGAGTCCTCACTTGCCTTTCTGGAAATATTTCATTTGTTATAATTTCCTACAATCATAGTTTCTTAAATTACAGCAAGGATTTTGGATTGACGTTAAAAGCTTGGAACAATCTTGAGTCTCAATTTGACATCTTCGTCATGTCTTATTTGGTTAAGCTTGAAGTCTAAATGTGTCAAACATTAATTACAGCTTTCTTATGTGGCTTTGTCCTTGAAATATCAACCAAGTCCAACCCTACAAAAGGCAATAATACTGGCTCATTAAAATGTTTCCCTTGATTTGTCTAATTAAATTCTTAAATTTCAGTGTTTAGATTGTGTGTGCTGCTATAATTCCATGTGGCCACTCTGGTGATCCAAGGTCCCCACAGGATAATGTTTCCTGTGTGTGTGACCTCCTTGTCCACAGTCTCTCTCCACACCAGGGCATGTGGGTTTTTTCCTACCCCTAATTACCTTGTATGCTTCTGTGCATATGTGTGTGTGTGCACATGCACGTGTATGTGTTTGTGTGTGTGTGTGTGTGTGTGTATG